TAGACAACTTGGACGGGAAAATCATTTTCAATTAGACCGCGACGGCGAATTTAACGAGCGAAACGCAGATAGGTCTGCAATAGGCGTGAGAAAAGGAGCGACTGAGAAGTAAAAGTAACGGTAAGGAATGAAGGACGCGGTATATACTATACAGGCATCTATATATACATGATCTTCACTTATCACTTAGTATAGTCAGTGAAGGATGAGACTAACCGTAACTATCCATAGTTTCCCCTGCGCATTGGCTTGTAGCCTTATAGCCTTATTACAGAGTATCTTACTATGTGGGTCATTCATAATAACAGGCTAGGTTAGGTTGAACTAGGAAATTTGATGGTATTCGCGGTGTTAGTATGGATTATGAAGACCCATAGTCCCCAGGTTCGCGCTACAGGGGTAACAAAGAATCCCTGACAAATTACTGATATGAAGTGATGACGATATGTGTATTGCTATATGGACAATTCACCGCCACGGCCTCCCTGTTCCTCGAAACTTCTCAGCACACAGATAATACGGGCATGGATATCACGTATTCTGAATTGAAGCCTGGCGTATATCACATAGTCGAGTAGTATTCCAGACTAGAATGGGCCTTTCTCTGTCTTGTTTCCGATGTGGTTGAAGCAACCTAGAACACCGTCGTGATTCCAGATAACACGATCTAGATAATGGGTTAGTACTATTAATACTGTTATTGATATAAGATGGACAATCGTACTGAGATCGTAGGCAGATGAGGCGAAACGGCCTTGTCCATTGAGGCAATCACAAGTCAGGATGAAGTCGACGTTGCTCCCGCGAACCGCGCAGTTGCCGCAGGTAGACCAGTAGCTTCCACTATCCAATATTCATGTTAACAAGCTAAGAAAGATGTGAGACAGGGATAAGGTCTCATACCTGACGTATGGGTAGAGCTTGCCACCGTAGTTGGTAAGGCAGACGTTGGTGTCGAGCCTTTACGAAGTCTCCGAGTTAGTAGATGTAATCTAAATGACATCCTATTAGCGAAAACTTACCAAGTCCAGTCGTAGCTGTACTCGGCCCAGTTGTTGTTGTTGCAGTACATTCCAAGGTAATTGTCTGACATGAAGCCAGTCTGCCAGGTGCAGTTGGAAACGAAGCCTTGAGCATTGGCTACTCGAGCAGCAGCTCCAAGTACCACCGCAGTGACGGTAGTAAAGAACTTCATCGTGTTCGTAATATAGTCTTGTTATGCCTTTGATTGGTTTTGGCGATCTTTTCACAAGAAGTAAAAGAGTCACAGTTCCCGAGTTATGAGAAGTGACTAGCATAAACAGCGAGGAGGACAGGTGCGGATGGAGAAAAAGGCAATGCGACTGAGAGTGATGAGAGAGTGACTCAGTTAGATTATGATGTGTTGCCTAGAAAAAAGAGGGTTGTGCACCTGTTGTCAGTCGCGTATATACGCGCTCTACGCGCGTGCTTGGTAGATGATGAGAGGAAGACTACATGTGGTTTACTGTTCGGATACGATGTTTTAGTTAAGGGGGTTTGAGATGCACCTAAAGCCATATGTAACTGCCTCCTGTAAGCTTTCATCTCAAACCACACCAATGCGATATAGACATCCTAATTGTAAGTAAGGTCACACTTTCCTCACAAAACAGCAAACTCTAGCGTATTAGGAGGTACATAGCATGTCAGGGTAACGCACCTGCCCAAATACATCATCCCCCTATCTACTACCTGAACACCTTCTATGCGAGATAACCGTGTTAACCATGTTACCTATGTTTTACCAATAAGTTGCGTATAAATTAAGTTTATATATCTTGGTACGGAATAATTTATTGTGTTTTGGACCAAGGTCTGACGTTCGTGTAAGCGGCGCGAGAGCCTTCACACAAGTTCGGATAAGCTCTCCGGTGTGTTCTATGCTGTGCATCCTATGTTGTGTATCACGAAAAGGCTCATGAATTTTAACTACAATAGTACGAAATAAGAACATTCTCATAGCTTTAAGACCACCAAATTGTTACACATATTAAAACCATATCTTGTGGCTGATAGGGGGTTTCTACCTTAGACATCTACAAGTGAGATGGCCGAAGTGGGACTTACTCTATTATGAAGAAATATGATAAATACTGACATTTTAATGTTAATATTAATAAGAGCCGTAATATTCTGTAACCGGGTGAGTCATACCGAAAAAAAACCTCAAGACCCGTGCTGTTAACGCAAATTCCGGCTCCGAAAGGTGTTAGAGACGCCATTCCATCGGAGGTCCAACCGGAGGGCGCAATGAACGACAATATCAGCCAAATATCTACTCGGCCTAGCAGTAAATTCTCAATTAACTATGGCTCATAATGAATCAGGATGGTTCATTTTGCATCGCCGCGTCGTCGTCGTCGTCGTCGTCGTCATCATCATATATGTCATCCGGCGAGCTGGAAAGGGGAGTTGCTTTGTGGATATACCAATCCTCTCCATAGAACGCCGACTTTCATTGGTTGGCTTGTGTGCGTAACACCTGATTAAGGTATCCCCAACGGCTGGTATCACTTGGTAGTACGATACCCCATTTATCCGGCTTTCGTGAGGTTAATCGACCCAGAAGCTATGTATCTATCCGTACATTAGCGCACTTACACGGTAATGCGATATCCACTCATCTCAATCACACCCATAGGCAATCCGGGTCTTCTCAAGTAGGCAATACTCCGTATTAACTATGTATGTTCTCGGGAAGCCTTTGCTTAAAACGGCGCTCGCCGGAGGCACGAGGTTCGCCCGGTCCACACGCCGACTCCAGACTATAAAATATTTGGCGACCCCGCCGTTACCTTCAGTCCTATTCCAACCTACTAATCATCTTAGATTTCTTCATACTTCGCCTAAAACTACGTCGCCTATCATGGAGAAATTCGAAACCGAACCGGCCAACAGCTGGCTTGGCCATAGAGGTGCTGCTGCTTTTGACCTTAGAAGTAAGTTGTTGCCCCTTTAACCAGCTTCTTATACACTTATCTCTCATGCACATATAGGCGATACCATGACAACTCCAACTCAAGCTATGTTATTTGCCATTCAGAAAACGACGTTGCTGGATGATGTATTTCAAGAAGACCCGACCACCATAGACCTGGAGGCGCACGTGGCTTCATTAACAGGCAAAGAGGCTGGTCTATTTGTCCTTTCTGGTACGATGGGAAATCAAATCGCTTTACGTACCTTGCTCACTCAGCCTCCTCACGGCGTGCTGACTGACCACCGTTCTCACATTATCCAATACGAAGCTGGAGGGTAAACGCCATCGTCTGCTGCTATATCCTCCCTGGGGCTGACTATTGCAATACACAGTGTTGCATCTCTATCCGGTGCCATGATCAAGGCCGTAGTACCCAGCAACGGTAATTATCTAACTCTAGAGGACGTCCAGTCCAACGTCACACTCGGGGACGAAGTGCACTCCTGTCCGACGCGCGTCATCAGCCTTGAAAATTCGCTAGCCGGCCTAGTCACGCCCCTAGATGAGGTTCGCAGGATCTCGGAGTTTGCGCGGGAGCACGGCATACTTATGCACTGCGACGGTGCCAGGCTATGGGAGGTAGTCGCCTCCGGCAGCGGGTCGCTGCAGGACTTCTGCCAATACTTCGACACCGTCTCCCTGTGCTTTTCTAAGGGTTTAGGTGCTCCAATCGGAAGTATAATCGTCGGTAGTAAGCCACTCATAAAGCACGCAAGATGGGTACGCAAGGCTCTCGGCGGCGGTCTACGTCAATCCGGTGTCGTCACGGCCGCGGCTAGGGTAGCAGTCGACGTGACCTTCGGGAAAGGACCCAACGGTGAGGGTGGACTACTACAAGACACACACGCGACGGCCAAGCGCGTGGAGAAGATGTGGGCGGATCTAGGTGGCAAGGTAGATGTTCCCGTCCAGACGAACATGGTCTGGCTTGACTTAAAATCCCTAAACACCACCCCGTCCAGATTTGTTGAGTTAGGTCAACAAGCTAGCTTGAAACTGAATGGTAATCGTATTATAATACACTACCAGGTTGGTGAGGAAGCTCTCCAGAGATTGGCTAATGTCTTTGAGAAAATCGCTGCTGAGAAAGGGGTTAGCCATTCTAACGGATCTCGTAAGACGACGGAAGACCTAGGTCCTTACGGAAGTAATCCTTAATGTAATGGGGCGGACTGGAGAAGGAAGTTTTGCGATCTTCGATTAGCTAGATTATCTTAACTGCGAATTTCTCAAATAACATCTCTCTGTATGAGGTGCGTACCAAGCTAAAATTTCATATCCTTTAGAATTGTATCTTCAAGTACGTCAGTCGCGAAAGAATAAATACTAGCAAACACACAGAACAGTGCTCAAAAACATCACTGCCATGTAAAATGCCAAAACCCTATGAGCTCTGGTGATCTGCGCACGAGTCGTGCGATGGGAATAGATACGTTTGATAGTATAAGAGTCAACAGGAGAAAATTTCGCCCTGCTCTTCTTCTCGAGAACAACGCCTGAAAATCTTAGAAATTACCCAGCTTTCTTCAGCGGGCCATACATCTCTCAGCATCACACCTTTTCTCAAAACTTCAGGCTATCTAGATCTGGCTTTCTTGCCATCCGCGATCTGCTCCTCAACGCCTCCCTAACCTACTTGTGCAGAGGATGCCGTTATATACAACGCACATGGGTATTCTTAAGAGCCTACTCCTTTTTAGAGTGCTCTTCATATACGGTAGCCCAGATATTGACACGGTCCTCCCGCACTTTGTACCCTAGCGCCAAACTACTCCGACACAAGGCAGTATTCTTCTTTTCGATACTGGCTCATAATCGGGGGTATTATGTGTAAAATGGCAGTTTGTAAACAAGAGACACAACCTGGCTCCTAATCATCACGCCACTGGAAAGGTACTTTGCTGCTTTTGTTGGATAGATGCTGTCACCGAACGCCGAGCAAGTTAAAACGATTCGAATCATAACCGTGTAGCCTGCCTCCGGTTTTACTTTCCTCTCCTTATGTCTTTTTGCCGAAAATCGCCCGACTTTTTGACTTGCTTCGGCCGCGCTTCGATTTCGGACTGCCAACATCATCGCTATATTTCGCCTTGTGTATCCTATAATATGAGATTAGTCAAAGGAATTGCGCCACCCGGCCGAAAGAAAACTAACCAGCTATTTCCTGGCATACTCATGCCCTTCGCCTCCGCCATACGGTAAAACTTGGCGCTTTTCTTAAGGTCTTTCTTGCAGCCTACGCCTTTAGCATAACAGAAGCCGGCCTCGGCAAGAGCATCAACATCACCCCAACCTATCAAATTTGTTAGATCACGCCTCAAATATTTTCCTCGTGGTTTAACTCACTGCCGGCAATCTCGAAGCACCTCAAAGCGAGTGCTTTATCCTGCTCGATTCCCCAACCATTCATATGGCTGACACCCAACTCGTAGATGCTTAGCGCAAATTGGGCCTTGCGGGTTTTATGATCCATAAAATCTACTGTTTTACCCTCCTTGGCGTGATCCTCGTCTTCCGCAATTTCGGCGCTCACAACATCGGCAGCCTTCCGTAGCCACTCGACACCTTCTCGTTGGTTCGCTCGCATACCCCATCCGTGTCTGCAAGCTAACGCATACAGCAGCATACCAGTTGGGTCACCGGCACGCGCAGCAAATCGCAGGTGATAGGTAGATTCTTTTACAGAGCCTTCTTCGTGACACTTAATGCCCTTTGCTAAATGCTCTTCCGCACTCATTTCAGAGGTTGTAGGCGCATGAGAATGCTGTGACCTCGGTGGCCTGATGGTACTAGCCGAGTCACTTGTGGATACTGACATTGGCGTTCGCCCTCGACCTTGGTCATGGAGTGGAGATGTAGGGTGCGCCCTCTAGGCACATCCTCAGATGGTCTAGTCGTGTCAGTTGAGGGACGACTTGGGTCGGGTGACGGCTGTCTCCCTTCTAAAGACATTTCGTTGGAAAGTTTACTTCGTTCGATGGATGGGCGTCCTAGGAGAGAATCGGTTGCGTGTTGGCCTTCTTGCGTTCTCGACGACGAACTCGAAGGCCTAGTAGGAGGCGAGGGTGGCGCTTGACCACTCCTCTGCGGCTCATTGTCGCGGAAAATAACCGAGTTGCGCTGTAATGACTTACCCCTCGGCAGTGCGTATTTAGAATATATATATGAAGGAGCGCCTTTCCGTCCTCCGTGAAATGACTGTCTAAGAAGGCCTCGCTGTGCATGCTAACTGGGGTGTGTGCAGTCTCATCGGCAAGTACGAAGGATTGGCTATCCGACGAAGCTTGTCGGGTTGGTGGATCTAGGCCTGGCGTGCCAGTCCGGCTGAGCGGACGAGAAAAGTTGAAAGCAGGACGTGGCAAAGGCGCAGAAGCTTCGGAACTAATCGAAGGAGACCTTTGGTAGTGGGCAATTGGCGACGCAAGACCCGGCCCCGAGAAACTACTCCCTGATGAAAGCTTTCGGGATGGCTGTGAATAGAAAGAAGCACTCAAGGTATCGTCATTATTGGCATCCAAAGGTGCAGACATTTATACTTGAAGAGCGCTTGGGGAAGAGTAGTCCTAGGCGGAAACCAAAACCGGCAGATTCATGCGAGGTCGTTTTGGTGAGCTTGTCTGGAGATGATGGAAAGCGGGTACTAGTGGCGAAAGCTCTCTGGGTTCGATATCATGCTCTGCTGGTTTATGGTCCGTTGCCTTATCCGCTACACTTTCCAAATCACCAGGTGATTCTTCTCGCCGCGCACCATACATCCCTTCATCCTCCTGGAGCTTTTCAAGGTGTCGACCGCGCGCGTTTTCGAGAAATGGGTTTGGAGGCACCGGGATCGATTGATCGGTGGGAGTGGAGGTCGATGGGACTCATTCGAGGGTTGCATCGAAACAGGCCGCTCTGAAGGCGATTCCACCTCTGTAGTCAAACCAAGCCCGGTATTTTGCTGGGGGGTCTCGGGTCGTTCCTCAGACGAGTCGTAGGACATAGAACGAAAGTATTCGGAACGACCTTGAACAATTAACGGGCTTTCTGTTGTCAACGGGGGCAGACGGCTCATTCGTCTCCCAGTTTTGGCGCTGTCCTCGAGCTGCTTGGCAAGCAAGCGGCTCTGAGCAGCGAAGGCATCAAGGGGGGATAAGGCGGGAGGAACCTCCCCAGCGACATGTAATCGCGGTGATCTTAGAGGACGGGAGGCACTACTGTTGACCGAGGCCGAGGAATCGGCCCTGAGGTCGATGAAATTAGGCCTGTTGGCCATAGTAAGGCGAAAATTATCGAAATTGGTATCAAAATGGATGTTCAGTAAATGTAATTGACCTCGAGACGAATCGTAGTGTTGGATCTCCCGATCCGCCTGGAGACCAGGCGACTAGAGCGGATTCAGGTGGTAACCGAATGCCGAGGAGGCGCAGTCCCCAATCCAACGGAATATTTAATAAGTGTTCGTAAGTCGAAAACGAAGCTTGTGAAGGCGATACCCCTGGAGCGCATAAAACATTAAGTTGGCTTTGTAGGTCCACCTAGAGAATGGTATGCGACAGGAATGTAGGATCGGCGTATTTAGAGGATCGAAGTAAGCGTGAACAGGAGTTTATTGTTTAGGTCGTTGGGGTTGCAATGCACTATAGGTAGGTTTGCGAAGAAATAAATACTGTCTTCTTTTCGATACTGCGTAATATGTACGTAGGTGGTAGGGAGGCATACAATCAGATGGAAAGTTGACGAAAGGGGTGAAGGAAAGAGATTGGGAAAAGTGATAGGTACGAATAATAACCAAGTTAGTAGGTTAGGTGTAGGTGTAGATGCAAAGAACGGACGATGAAATGAATCACCAAAGGAGTACCTGGCTTTAACAGCAGGGTCACAGAGAATAGGAATAGACAAGTGAATCTTTACTTTGTCAGCAAAAATACGTGTACGATAGTTGAGGAGAAGGTGAACAATCAAAGGTTTAATTTTGAGATTACCCCGGGGTTCAATCGTCAGAAGGAGAGGGTCGAAAGAGCCAGGAAGCCAGGAGCCAGCCAGATTGCTTCTACGTACTGCGAAAGGTACCTACGTAGTACAGTGTAAGAAGGGACTTACCGAACCCCTACCACTACTATTTAGGTTAGTACATAACCGTACAAACGGCCGGGTAACCCCTACTGCCCCTACTGTCTGCCACACGGTCTCCCGAAATGAAAGTAATCCGGGGGCAGCCATTCCTTATTGGGTGAATTAGTGAGTTGACATAGGAACTTGAATTAGCTAATATGTAATGCATCCTGCATCCTGCATGACAGGTCAATTCAATATGTGGTTACAAAATTTGGTACATACATGTACTGTGCAATAAATTCAATTTGATGTATCTATTCAAATATTTGCGTATATCAAAATAGTTTCCTATATTAGGTACCTACCTAGAACAAGAAGTATGGTAACGCCATGCATACATGTAAATAAGAAATAGGCAGTTCGTATTAACTAATGTTTATGTTAAAACTAAGCCCCTAACATCGCCTTCTAGCTCGCAAATATATCCCAACTACGTAAGTACGCAGCAATTGGAAACAAATCGCATACGAATCCAAGTCTCAGCTTTAAAAGAGTGGAAAATGGATCTCGAGTTGGTTACCCCTTGACGCCATTGCCTGGACTGGTCCTTGTGGGTCTTAAAAGCCACTTGCAGTAAAATGATGTGGCATTGTTCTCCAAATATGGCTAGTGAATTATAGGAGTATTGATCTTGGCCAATCATCTAGACCCAGCCAGATATAGATGTACATGAAGATACGAGAATATTAAGTTTGCTCTCCCAGGCTCGGCACCAACCAGTTATGCTAACAGGTAGAGAGATCCCGCCGTTAGACCGTGCGGCCATGCAAGATTTTCAATATCTCATAAGCCACCAACCAACCAACCAACCAACCAACCAACCAGCTACGTATATTGTACCTTACCTATGTACTAACATTTAAATTCAGGGACAATTACATAATGTGCCCAGTACCTGGTTCAGCTGATTCTTCGGGAGATTGACGTCAAGGGGTAAAGCTGTTCGGCGAATAAAAATATAAGCCTTCACTAAAAAAAGATTATATGCACACGTGCGGACATATTATATGTAAAGAATCGAAATGTCAGCATACCAAATACGTATATTAGGACAAAAGAACAGTTAGGAGTCTAGCCAAGGGTGACAATAATACATAATAGCTGTCTGATGTAACTTGGTATAAAAGTATAGGTACCTAATTATTGTCACTTTTCCACGTAGGTAGTGTCTTAAAGGTCGTGTGCTATTTAAAGGTGTTTATCTAAGCCACCCACTAGAGTAACGGTCTTCTGCATAGTACAACTTAAAGTACTATATCGAGAACAGTCAAACGAGGTCCTTTTACATATGTACAAAAAGCAAAAACACTGGAGGCCACCCCGAGGGGCGACACAATCCTTAAATATTAAAGAAGAACACGGGGGGGGAAGAGGGGAAAAAGGAAAAAAAAAAGGAGAAAAAAGGAAGAAAAGAAGGAAGAAAAGGAGAAAGGAAGAAAGGAAGAGGGGAGGAGGGGGAGAGGGAAGGAGAGAGGGGGAGGGAAAAGGGAAAAAGAGGGGAAAAGAGGGGAGAGAAGAGGGAGGAGGAGGAGGAGGGGGGGAAAAAAAGGAAAGAAAAGGAAAAAGGCGGAGAGAAAGAAGGAAGAAAGAGGGAAAAAAGAGAAAGAAGAAAGAAAGGGGAAAAGAGGAGAGGAGGGGAAAAGAAGAGGAAAGAAAGAAGAGAGGAAAGGAGGAGAGAGGAGGAAAAGAACGGGAGGGAGGGAGAGGGGGGAAAAGAGAAAGGGGGGGAGGAAGGGAAAAGGGGAGAGGAGGGAGGGAAGAAGAGGGGGAGGGGGAGGGGAAGGGGAGAGGAGAAGAAGGGGAGGGAAGGGGGGAAAAAAAAGGAAAAAAAGGGAAGAAAGGGAAGAAAAGGAGAGAAGGAGAGGAAAGAGAGGGGGAGGGGAAGAGAGAAAAGAAGGGAAGAAGGGGAGAAAAGGGGAGGAAAAGAAAAGAAAAGAGGGGGAGAAAGGAAAAGAAGAGGAGAGGGGGGGAGGAGGGGGAAGGAAAGAGGAAGGGAGAGGAGAGAAAGAAGAAAGGGGAGGGAAGGGGAAGGGAAGGGGAGGAGGAAGGAGGGAAAGAAAGAAAAGAAGAAAGAGGGGAAAGGGGAGAGAGAAGAGGGAGGGGGGAGGGGGGAGGAAGGAGGGGAAGAAGGGGGGAGAAGAAGCGGGGAGGAGAGGGAAGAGAAAGAAGAAAGGGGAGGGGAAAGAAAAAGAGAGAGAAAAGGAGGGGGGGAGGGAAAAGGAGAAAAAGAAAAGGAAAAACGGGGGAAGGGAGGGGAGAAAAAGGGAAGGAGAGAGAGAGGGCAGAGAGGGAGGAAGGGAAAAGAAAGGAGGGAGAGAAGAGGGAAGAGGGGGGGAGGAACGGAGGGAGAAGGGGAAAGGAGGAAAAGGAAGGAAGGAAAAAAGAAGGGAGAAAGGGGGGAGGGAGAGAAAGGGGGGAAAAGAGGGAAAAGAAGAGAAAGAAGGGGAAAGAAAGAAGGAGAGGAGGAGAAAAAGAGAAGAAAAAAAGAGGGGGAGAGGGGAGGGGAAAGGAGAGGGGAAGAAAAAGGGGGAGGAGGAAGGGGGAGGAGGGGGGAGGAGGGAGAGGAGGAAAGAAGGAAGGGAGGAAGAAGAGGGGGGGAGAGGAGCGAAGGAGAGAGGAGAGGGGAAAAAAACGGGGAGGGAGAGAGGGGAAGGGAGGGGGGGGAAAAAAAAAGGAGAGGAGGAGAAAGGGCGGAAGAAAGAGAGGAGAAGGAGGGGAGGCGGGGAAGGAAGAAGAGAGGGGGAAAAGAGGAGGGGGGAGAGGGGGAAGGAAGGAAGGGGAGGAGAAGGGGAAGGAGGGGAAAGGAGGGGGGGAGGGCAGGAGGAGGAGGAGAAGGGGAGGGAGGGGGAGGGAGGGGGGAGGAGGGGAGGGGAGGGAAGAGAGAGGAAAGGGGGAGAAAAGGAGAGGAAAACAGGGAGGGAAGAGAAGAAAGAAAGAAGAAAAGAGGGGGGGGGAAAGGAGAAGAAAAGGGAGGAGGGGGGAGAGGGGGGAGAGGGGGGAGAGGGAGGAGAGGGGCGAGAGGGAGGAGAGGGAGGAAGGGGAGGGAGGGAGGAGGAGAGGGGAGGGGAGGGGAGGGGGGGGAGGGGAGGGGGGAGGAGGGGGGAGGAGGAGGAGGAGAAGGAGAAAGAGGAGGAGAAGAAGAAGGAGGAGAAGAAGGGGGAGGGAAAAGGAGAAAGAAGGGGAAGAAAAGAAAAGAAAAAAAACGAAGGAAGGAAAAGCCAAGGAAAGGAAAGGAAAAGGAAAAAAAGAGAGAGAAGAGAAAAGAAAGGGAGGAAAAGGAAGAAAGGGTAAAAGAGAAAGCGAGAAAGGGGGACGGGGAAGAGAGGAAAAAGCGGGGAAGAGAAAAGGGGAAAGAAGAGAAAGGAGGGGAAAGGAAGAAGGAGAGGAGAGAAGAAAAAAAAAAGGGAGAGGGGAAGAAAAAGGGAGGGGAAAGGGGAAGGAGGGGGGAGGAGGGAGAGGAGGAAAAAGAGGAAGGGAGGAAGAAGAGGGGGGAGAGGGGGAGGAAAGAAGGGGAAGGAAAAGGAAGAAAGGAGGGAAAGAAAGGAAAAAACAGAAGAAGAGAAGGGGGGGGAGGGAGAGAGGGAGGAAGGACGGGAGGAAGGGGGAGAAGAAAGGAAAGAGGAGGAGGGGAGGAGGGGGAGGGGAAGAAGGGAGGGGGAAAAGGGAAGGGAGGAAGGGAAGAAGGGAGGGGGAAGGAGGGGAAAGCGGGGGAAAAAGGAAAGGGAGAGGAGGAGAGGAGAGGAGGGGAAGGGAAGAAGAAGGGAAGCGGAGAAACGGAGAGGGAAAGGAAAAAAGGGGGGAAGAGAGAGAGGGGGAGGGGAGGGAGGGGGAGGAGGGAGGGAAAGAAAAGAGAGGGAAAAGAAAAGGGAGGAGGGAGAGGAAAGAAAAGAAAAAGGAGGAGAAAAAAGAGAAAAGAGAAAAGAGAAAAGAAAAGAGAAGAAGAAAAAAAAGAGGAAAGGAAGAGGAAAAAAGAGGGGAGGGAAGGAAGAAGGAGAGGAGGGAAGGAGAAGGAAGGGGAGAGAAAGGGGAGAGAAAGAGGGAGGGAGGGGGAGAGAAAGGGAGGAAAGGGGAGAGAGAGGGGGAGGGGAGAAGAGGGAAAGGAAAGAGAAGGAGAGAAGGAAACAAAAAGAAGAGAAGAAAAGAGAGAAAGGGGAGAGG